TCTCTGTCTCTCTCTCTCTCTGTCTGTCTGTCTGTCTGTCACTTTCTCTCTCTCTCTCTCTCTCTCTCTCTCTCTATATATATATATATATATATATATATATAGATATAGATATAGATATATTCTGGGTGTCCATAAAGTTCGTGTGCACTTTAAAAAACTTATAACTTTATTTGTATTTGCGATAGAAACAATTTGTAAAAAAGATTAGAAAGAAGTAAATCTATGTTTTTTAAGGTTTTATTGAAATTTTATTTAAGTTTCCACATGTGATCCATCATTAGCAGTACAAAGGGTAATACGATTTTGCAGTTCACGGAAAACATTTGCCAACTGATTTACAGTAATGCCTGAAATCACATTAGTTATTTTAGCTATACTTAAAACTCAGTACATTAAACTTTATAAAATTTTTACAGATTATTTCTATCGCAAATACAAATAAAGTTATAAATTTTTTAAAGTGCACATGAAATTTTTGGACACCCTGTGTATATATATATATATATATATATATGTGTGTGTGTGTGTGTGTGTGTGTGTGTGTGTGTGTGTGTGTGTGTGTGTGTGTTGTATAATTACTACAAACGTCATATTTAGTGGGTGCACATGTTTGAATAGACGTCCCGTATTTTTAACTTACCTATCGGTCTAGGAATCAAAAGTCTTATTAAAGAAAATGTATCTATCGCTATTAATAGTTGTTCAACCTCACTATTCTCTTGATTTGACTGTCATCTTTTCCCCAACATAAAAAAAAACTTATGGCTGGGAATCAGTATCGTAGTGATGATGGCGTCATGTCAGCTCCTAACATTTTTTGACCAACAGGATGAACAGTCTTCTTGGAACAATCAAGTGTCAGTTTACCTGGAAAGAAACAATGCAGTTATTAATAAGAAAAGTTGGAATTAATGAAGACGAGGTTTCACAGCTCTAACGCCATTCATTCATAGTCAACCTATAAATCTTTCTGCCCAGGCCCGTAATTTCACTGTTCAAAACGATTATCGTGAAAGGGTTCCAATGCACTGGCCTTGTTTCAATTTCTCTTCACGCCAGATTACTGCGATCTCCGAGAAACAGTATCTAATGTGCTCTCAATCCACATCCAGTATAAACCAGAGGTTGTCTCTGTAGGTGTTGAAAAAACAGAAATATGGCTGAGCAGGCGTTTGCAACAGGGATTTGTAGCTACTAAAATAAATGGATATACCCGGAAAAAAAAAAAAAAAAAAACGAGACATAAATCTACTGGATACTAGGGATACGAATTATGGTTGTTTTTGTAAAATCTCTCACTTTCCAAGGCCCCGAATGAATTGATATTTGACTATACCGGACGCTCATCTGCATCAAGACAGCAACCAGAAACGACGGGGGGTATTTAAGACACCCACAGTAAAATTGGTGTATAAGCTTAATTGCTATCATAACTATAGATCAATGCGCATGCGCGAAACTAAATCTCTTCCGGCTTTTTGGTATTGCGCTAAGTCTGTTACCGGTTTCATTATAATAACTTGTAATAAGATATACGACGAGGCGAAAGTATTTTTTCAATATTATTGATTCTTGCTGTGGGACAGAACTGATTTTCAGCGTTTTGTCTGTATCTCTTGTTTTTTGTTGATTTTTCTTTCTGAGTGAAGGGAAGGTGTGGCGTCGAATTGACTTAAACTTTTCACCCGTTGTCTCAGTCATAAACCAATCGATTAATTCACGATTTTGTTTGTAAGTTTTTGAGCTGAATCGATTAGAGTTCTTTATCTATCATATTCCATTTCCTCTTCTTATTCGCATATCGTTCACTGTCACTCAATATATAGACACACACACATATATGCGTGTGATAATATATATATATTTATACATATAATATATATATATATGATAATATATATATATATTTATATGATAATATATATATATATATATATATATATATATATATATATATATATATATATATATATATATATATATATATATATATATATATATATATATATATATATATATATGATAAAATTATAATTTGGAGAGTACATAAGTATTGAGTAGCGACTGTCTGTTCCATGCTTGACCGCAATATATATATACACGTTATTTTTATACACTACATTCATAACATTTCGCGGCACGGGACAGTCAGTCAGGCTAAAATGAAGTCCCATGTAGGATACAGGTTCGATTTCGGTCGGAGGACACATATTTGAGATTTCTCGGACATTTAGGCCGGTTTCTGTTGTTAATTACTGTTTATTATACGCAGAACATTTACTTCAATATTTGTATCTGTAAAAAGAACGCATAAACAATACATATATTAAAATAATTGTCGGTCTGAGTCAGTTTTATACAAGAGAGTGCAGAAAAGGTTCTGGTTTTGGTCATTGAAAAACAGATTATGAAAAGTGTCTCGGGCCAAAAACGTTTCTGCACCCTCTCCTATACGTATGTGTATGTTTTTTCATGTTTGAATCTAGCACTTACTATTTGCTAAAACCTTTTCTTATCTATCTAGATATTTCCCCCTCTCTCTCTGTCTATCTTAAACTCTTCATTATCTATCTATCTATCTATCTATGTATCTATTTATCAATATAATCCTGTTCATTATCAATCTATCAATTTAAATATTTTCCCATCTATTTAAAGTCCATTTTTATCTAACACATTCTGTTCATATCTCTCTATCTATCTGTCTGTCGCTATTTTTTGTTTCTATCTATCTATCTATCTATCTATCTATCTATCTATCTATCTATCTCTCTCTCTCTCTCTCTCTCTATATATATATATATATATATATATATATATATATATATATATATATATATATCATAGTTTGTTTATCTATGTATTTAACTATCTATAAGTCCGTCCATTATCAATCTATCAATTTAAGTCTGCTCATATCTATCTATCTATCTATCTATCTATCTATCTATCTATCTATCTATCTATCTATCTATCTAACTGGTCGAACAAGAAACAAATAAACAAACAAACAGATATGTCGCACAGTCAATTCATTCCCGAGTAAAACTGAAATAAATGCCATTTGAACATATTAAAATTAACCGATGAGCCCACAATTCTATGACTGAAGAAGGAATTTGAAACATCTTACCTCCTTTGCCGAATTCTGACTCCGTGGGTGGTCAGAAGGAAATACCGACTGAATTTTGATCATTACATCTGGAGTCAACTCACAATTAGTGCCGATAAAAAAAACTTTTCGATTCTAAGTGGTCGTTATTTTTTTTTCATCGAAATGTAATAAACTGTATATATTTACCAAAGTCAGATTAGTTCTATAAAATTGCGATATATCCTTTAATCCGAATCCTTTAAGAGGATAATCGCGGCCAATAGACGGAAGCGGACCATCAAAGCCAGATGGGGGAGATCACCAAAGGTCGACGAGATGAACAGAATAGATATTAATGATCGGTAGATCGTTATTTTACGGTCGCTTCTCATGTACCAGATGAACCCAATTTAGATTTGCCGTTACACCAAAAATATCTCTGAAACAAGAAAAGGTAAAGATAGGATAAATTAGGGTGGGTTTAGTGGGAGTTCTGCTCCACCAATCGAATCCTTTAAATATATTTTGAAATTTCAGGTTTATCGCCTACATCAGTGTCCTCAAAATGTTTAATCCATTGCCCTAGACTTATTGGTCTCATGTTCTTGATTTTCCAAACAAGAAAAACGGATTCAACGATACTTATTATATTTTTTTATGAAATAAAGCCATTATTTTATTATATTAATTTGTTTAATTTCTACGGTTTATCGACCCTATGCAGGTTAGTTAAAAAAAGAAAATATTTTTATATCTATCTATCTATCTATCTATCTATGTATCAGTAGATTGAATAAACGTATCAATTCGAAATTGACACTTACCTCAATCGACAGACGATTGCGTCTAGCATAAAACAGCCTGTCGACTCTAAGTGTTCAATGTTCACTTTTATATTTACACATGCTCTGTCTCTGATATTGAGCACTTTATCCCATAAATATAGGACACCCGAAGATTGTTTTTTCTTCATATATATATATATATATATATATATATATATATATATATATATATATATGTCATATTATATATTTATATATATATTTATTATTTATTTATTTAATATTTATTTATTTAATACTTATTTGATATTTAATTTTATTTAATATTTGTTTATATATGTATTGTTATATATTATATATTTGTTATTATATATATATATATATATATATATATATATATATATATATATATATCATAGAATTTAAAATAGAACAATTTAAAAAGAATTTAATACATAATTATAAAATAAAGTCGTTATTTTATTTTAACGATTGATTTGTTCTATTTTTAGGTTTTTGTAGGTTATTTAAAATCAGAAATATTTTTTAGATTGTAAGTAACTTTTAGAGATAATAATGACTTGTAGCACTCATAAAAATGGTGGATATCGCTTTTGACATCTATGCTAACAGTCGCTTCTTCGCACTTCTCGCTTGTGGAACTCAATTTCAGCTCCTTACTTTCCAATCAAATTTAATCTTCAAAATATTTAAATGACAGATGCTATCATCAGTCTTCTTAATTCTTGTTCTTTTAATCTTTTCGCATACTCTCCAACACTCACTAACCCCTTGCGTCTTAGTGGATTTATTGCTTTGCTTGGGGTGAAATGATAAAAAAAAGCAATAGAAAATTATGTCAAAGTTTAGCGGGAAATTGCTGACGAGTTTAGAAGAAAAAAATCGTGGATGAAACTAGGTTGAACTAGCATATATATATATATATATATATATATATATATATATATATATATATATATATATATATATCTAAGATCTATATAAATAAAATAAATAAAAACATCCACGTGACACCTATTTGTCTTTACCTACCCTGATGATGACTTAAGAACGTCTCATGCTTGCAATGAATTTCTTCGCAAATGAACTTCGGACAATTTCTAAGGATCATCCTTAATTTTGAAAATTAATCAGTTAATCCACACAAAATGGCTGCTGTCTTTTATATCTCCTTTAAAGAACATTTGTTGCCTAAATACATAGAATTTATATATACATTGATAATAATATATATATATATATATATATTGATAATATATATATATTAATATTATTATTATCAACAATTATTTAATATATATTCTGTTTAATATATATAATTTCTTGAAGTAAATGCTCTGTTTTTTAAATAAACAAAATTAATAACATTTAACGGCCCAGTAAATAATTATAAAGCTTAACATTTCTTATTTACCTTTCATATTAACTGTGATGAAAAATGGAGCTGAGCCAACGTATTTCTATGAGGCGCAGATTAAAGGTCAAAGAGCCGTATGTAGCTCGTGAGCCGCGGTTTGACCATCCCAGATATATGTTATTCTGCTTTCACAATTGAATACGTGGTAGATGACACTCCGCTTTTGTGCATATACTTGTTTGTGTGGACATAATTACTATAGGAAGTGAGATGCGTTTTTTATGTTGTAGTTTTGTTGAAGTTATATTTTGGAATACAGTTTTTATTTTAGGATATTGTTATAGGGATTAATATGATGAAAAAGTTCTTTCATATTCATTGTTTGGTTGGTTGATTTTGTTTAACGGCGTATCAACCTCTATAGGTTATTTAATGCTGAAATTTAAATATTTTGAATAATTATATTGCTTCAACTAAATATATTTTAAATGCAATTGTATGCCTTCAGCTAGAGATAAAATATATTGTTGGTCAATTTGCTATAAAATGTATTGTTGGTCATTTTGATTTAAAATTCTATTGTTAGTAATTTTATTGTAAATATGTATTGTTGGCATTTTTTATATATAAAAATATACTGCTGGTGTTTTTACTATGAAAATTTATTTTTATATTAACTGGTACCCGAACAGGTGCTACCACCCCGGGTCAGGATGGACCTCGGAACAAGAGCAATTAAATCTCGCGACTTTTGGTCTCTGGGAAAGGGGTTGTGGGGTTGAAAATAATTCATCATCCACAAACGCTTTTGAATTCTGTAAAGGCCGGCATGTAAACGCGTAGACGGTTTCACACTCTATAAAGACATGCAGACTGGGCAGTTGCAGCCCAGATAAGGCAGCCATACTTCATTTTTGGTCTGATTTTGGTCTGATTTTGGTCTGATCTGCTTCTTATAAACAAAGAGAACGAAAGGGAAGTCAGATACTTACTGCAGTGGTAGAAGGAACTGGCCATTTTTCACAGCACCTTTAACAATAAATCGATTTATTTCTTGAAGTCTGGAAAGAGCTTAAGTGTTTTTCTAAAGTTGTTAATCCCAAATCTTTATAATAGGGAAATTTCACAGGTATTTTTATAGGCGAGAAACCCGCAAAGATATTATCCAATCATTGAATTCAGAAAAAGAATTTATCACAAAATTCAAATAAGAAAACCGAGAAGTCTTCATTGGTACTACTAGTATCTATAAGAGTTCTATTCTGTCAATAAATCTTGATAGTGTCTTTTGACTTTATTAGCTATGCACAATCGAGATCAAGTGCTAAACTCCAAACCAATATTAAATTCGAAAGTCTAATCATTAATATTCCCAACTACAAGAAATTTTTCGTTTTCCGTTTTCATTTTGCATTGACCTTCAAAAATTGCTGAGTAATCATTAGAGCGAACGCAATCATTAGACGGAATGAAAGTTTAAGGATATTTTCTTTAACAAATTCCATGCTGTGGTGCGTTACATAAATAGTTGTTAAGGAAAAGCGTACATTTATAAATTAGAGACTTATATTTAAGTTCCTTTCTCTTTTTTGAACTTTTTTATTATCTATCTATCTATCTATCTATCTATCTATCTATCTATGACAGTCTGTTCATATCTATCTATCTATCTATCTATCTATCTATCTATCTATCTATGACAGTTTATTCATATCTATCTATCTATCTATCTATCTATCTATCTATCTATCTATCTATCTATCTATCAATCTGTTCGTACCTAACTGTCAGTCTGAAATCTGAAAACACCAGTTCTCGTTCGATAACCGACGTTAAGCAGCCTCGAATCCGGTGAGTACTTAAATGGGGGACCACTTGAGAATACTACAGTCTTCTCAGCAACCTCTTATATTCCATCGCATGTTTCGCCATTAAATAACACAAACCAACATTGGATCAATAAACTGTAAAATACAAATCTATCTATCCATCTCGGTTATATTTTTTGTTTCTATCTAATTCATTATTCATAAAACATTAAATAACTCTACCTCTCGATAGATCATTTTTTTTAATTCATTCGTGTATTCTTCCTTTCTTTTTCTTTCTTTTTCTTTCTTTTTCTTTCTTTCAGTCTTACTATTTCTTTCTTTGTAATTTTTTTATGCCTTTTATTCTTCATTTCTGTTTGTTTTTATCGCTTTTTATTCTTTCATTTTCCCAGTTTACTACTTTTCTTTTAAGTTTTTCATTCTTTCTCTTATATCTCTTCTTTAAATCTGTTTCAGAAGTTTATTTTGTTTCTTTCTCTTTCATTTTTTCATTCTTTTATTATTTCTTTCATTTTCGTTCTTTCGTTATTTATCTCTTTCTTTCTTTCGTTTATTTCTTTCTTTTTCATTCTTTCTTTCTTTCTTCTGCTTTTTCCTTCTTTTTCGTTCTTTCATTTTTTTCTTTTGTTTCCTTTCTTTTTATCGCTTTCTTTTGTTTTTTCTTTATTTTTAGTGCTTTCATTTGTTTCTTTCCTTTGTTTTTTCTTTCTTTTTCGTTCATTCTTTGTTTCTTTCTTTTCTTTTTATTTCTTTTTCTTTCTTTCATTTCTTTCTTTTGTTTTTTCTTTCTTTCTTTCTTTCTTTCATTTCTTTCTTTATTTTGTTTTTTCTTTCTTTTTCGTTCTTTCTTTCATGTCTTTCTTTTACGTTTTTGTTCTTTCTTTCATATCTTCCGTTCTTTTGTTTTTCTTTTTCGTTCTTTCATTCTTTCTTTCTTTTGTTTTTCTTTCTTTTTCTATCTTTTGTTTTTTCTTTATTTTAGGTTCTTTCATTTACTTCTTTCGTTTGTTTTTCTTTCTTTTCCTTCATTCTTTATTTGTTTCATTCTTTTCTTTTTATTTCTTTTTCATTGTTGCATTTCTTTCTTTCTTTTCTTTTTCTTTCCTTATTGTTTTTTCTTTTATTTCTTTTTTTCCTTTCTTTTTCGTTCTTTCTTTCCTATCTTTCTTTCTTTTTTATTTTTCGTTCTTTCTTTTGTTTGTTTTTCCTTCTTTTTCGTGCTTTCGTTCTTTCTTTTGTTTTTCTTTCTTTCTTTCTTTCTTTCTTTCTTTCTTTCTTTCTTTCTCCACCTATTTTAATCAACACTCATTGACTAAAATATTATAAACAACTACAATCCCCTGAACTAATCCTATAAATCCCTTTTCCCGTTTTGGTTGAATCAATTCTAATCGCTAAGCCCAACTATAATTTTTCCATTTTTTTTTTTGTCTGCTTACAACACGGAAACATGTTCCGAAAATAGATTCTTTCCAATTAAAACATTCTCTTATTCGAAATAAAAATGAAGGAAAAATAAAGAATGCTCCCTGTTTATATTTGTCATTCGTGGCAACATTTATTGAAATTGGGACTTTATTAGTATTGGCTTATGAACTGCTATTAATAGAGGAACAATCGCATGCTGCTAGAAAATGATTTCACTTGTGCGCATGCGTGAAAAAGGAGCATAGTTGTGGGATTTTGAAGCCATGCGGAAAGTCTCGCTTCCCGATTGTTTTCGTCGTCTTAACTTTCTTCAATTCGACGTTCCTCATTCATCAGTCATGCTATTTATTTCTACTTGTACAAATCTTTGTTAATTAATGAAGCGAATAAAAAATGTGGACAAATTAAAAGAATATCCTTTTATTATTGGATATCGACACGGAAAATCTCATCGGCAAACCGGGTTCAAATTCTGATCTGGTCTGTTGAGCTTACTTTCGCACAGATACTTTTGCGAAACGAATACATCCGCCTTTCACATCCCATCCACGGTACGGGACAAATAGCAGCGCAGATTGGGTTCTCTAGCCTTGGCTAGCAACAAGTCTAGAAGAACAATAAAATTGAATTCAAAATCAACCTGAAGAGGAATCGACTACATCAGGCTATCTGGCTCCAGACATACCTGCTGTTGCTATGGCTTTTTATACTAAAGTTCATCCAGTTTTAAGGCAAAGAACCACTCAAAGTAGAGGAATTACTCTTAAATTGGTTATGATATGTTGTAACCTACGGAAGGTTACTGAATAGAATAATCACACGAAGGCTGGTAATGAACGATAATACTTAGGACAAGAACAACACATATAAGATTCGCCAGCGGCGCGTAGTAGTAGTCAGCAGCTAGAAGTGAGTTCCACAGTGAATGTCTAACTGCAGGATATCTACTAACCGCCGCGAGCGGTCAGATGTTGCACAAGGCTGAATTTAACGTGGGGTATCCGCGCCCGTAGGCTCGGCCCAAAATTCCCCGTATACCCCGTCTAAAATGGGGCCCGGTAGCTGCTTCCCGAGACTAGACTCTGCCCTTCGACATAGCCTCGTCTGGAGACCCACTCTCTCCAGCGGCAGAGAGTTTGACCAGCACAACTGGAGATGAATCTCTAACTACAGGATATCTTCCAACCACCTTAGCAGTCAGATGTGGCACAAGGCCGAATTTAATGTGGAGTATCCGGCCAAAACTTGCCTGTAGACTCCATCTAAAACTGTGCCGAGTAGCTGTTTCCTGAGACAAAACACCTCTCTTCGACATAGCCTCGTCTGGGGATCCTTTCTGCCTTGAGGACGAGAGTTCGACCAGTACAGCTGGAGACGAATCTCCAACTACAGACCAACATACAGTATTTACTACTGTATTTATAGGAATGGGGGCTTTCCTATTATCGTCTATCAACATGATGACTGAGAGAGAAATCGGTAGGAGGTGAAGATTATGAAGTTCAGGAGGATAGATAACGATTGACCTTTGACCCGCAGAGTTTAAGAGTTTAGTGTGATTGGAAACATTCACGCGTGAATCTTTTACCCAATATAGCAGTTCCTAGAAAAAACATTCTCCTTATATTCAGGTAAGGTAGAAATAAGGGTAATTCGACGCTGGATATATAGCATATCGCGTTCCAGCTGTAAAGGCCTGAACTGGTTGAATCTAAGATTGGAACACTTCTGACTATTTGCTATGGAAATAGCGATAGAGCAAGGATAGACATTGCAACTGCAGGACAGAAGATGCAAAGTAGGAAATAATTCTTTCCTTTCAAGATCTTCTAAACGATTTTGAAATCTATCAAGTCTGGAAGGAAAAGTTTGGAAAAGCTATAACCGAGATATGACAGCAATATTCCTTTTGGTCTAATCTGACTCATGTAAACATAAAACCAAATTTGACGCTGGAATCTTCCATAAACTTTTCGAACATCGACTGAGCCAGTCCCACTGTATGGATCAGAAACTTGGACATTATCTGTTCATCTTTAAGATGACTGGATGGAGAATATATAAATGTAAGAAAAGTCCAGAACATCAGTTGAAGATTCCATGTAACACTTAACACAATCAACGGAGAACTAAGACTAATCTCTCTCTCTTAAGACTAATCTCTCTCTTAAGACCAATCTCTCTCTTAAGACTAATCTCTCTCTTAAGTTCAAATAGATATGATTACAGTTTGCCTGTGAGCAGACAGGGAAATTGTCTCATCCTTACTCCTATAGCATCCTTCTGAAAATGTTTTCTCTGGAAAATTGAATTTCCCAGACAGCATAGCTCGGGATTCAGGGTTGGACATTGGAGATCTGGGGTCATCAATGCAGGACCGAATAGTTGTAGAAAGGGGATTGTCAATGGAGTTCCGACCAACCATAGGGAGGTCAAAGGATGATGATGATGATGAAACATAAAGTATGGCCGAAATAATCAAGTATTTGCTGGCATGATAGATTGGACCGACCGTTTTTCCAGTATCTGTAGCGAGGGCTCGTATATGCGAGTTCCACTTGAGGACTGGACTTGAGTCCCAAGAGACGTCTGACTCATGCAACCTTGCTGAGGGTGCAATTGTTCATTGTGACGGGAGAAAGCTCAAAGTCCTATGGCGACATTTTTTTTTAAACATAACTTTTGTATCCCACCATCCCATCGTATACTGATGATCCTTTCGTCCTTTCTTTCCAGTGAATTAATACTTTCTTACTTTTTTTTCTTTTTATAATCTACTTCAGTGGATTCTTTCTTTTTCATCAGTAAATTATTTTTCTTTTTTTTTCTTTCTTTCTTTCTTTCTTTCTTTCTTTCTTTCTTTCTTTTTCTTTCTTACCAGTAAATTCATTTATCTTTCTTTCTTTCTTTCTTTCTTTCTTTCTTTCTTTCTTTCTTTTTTCTTTCTTTCTTTCTTTCCAATGGAGTCTTTCTTTTTTTACCAGTAAATTATTTTTCTTTCTTTCTTTCTTTCTTTTTGTCAAATCTCTGCTGATATCTTCCTGATGAAAACACACAGACACACACATACGCACACACACACACACGCACACACACACACACATAATTACACGTCTTCATAGATTCATTTATTGCGAAAACAGATTGTGTTCACCTCCTCCTCTTCACTTGCCCATTGGTTGTACTTAATTCAAAACCTTGATGGACAACAAAATGGCATCACCCTGTCGTCTGCCAATCAATCACAAGAGCGTTCGACCAGAAACAAGAAGAAAAATTACCAGTGTTGGTGGTTTTCACATCAAACCTGGCCTTCGAGAATGAAGTGCCACTATTTTCGTTACACCGTATTTCTTGTTGGCTTTTGTCTTCGACAATTTTCATTAAATTGACCAATCCCATATTTATTGGAAAACCAGAATAATGAAGCCTGAAGACAAATGATCAGGATATGTTTACACACACGCAGAAAAAAAAACACGCACACGCGCGTGTGTGTACATATATATATATTAAGAAATGGACAAAGTCCGAAATTTATTTTATTAAAGACATTTTTATGTTTAACGTTCTTTTTTATAGATACAAGTATTTAAGTAAATGCTCTGTTTATAATAAACAGTATTAAATAACATTTACCGGCCTGAATGTCCGAGAATTTTTCATAGAAAATATTCGTCCTTTGACAGGATTCGAACCTGCATCCTATACGGAACCGTCATTTACGCTGACGTGCCTTAACGATCGGCCACAAAGGAGCGTTCGGTAGGCAAGGTCGAATTTACTGCTTATAAACTTCAATCTTCCATGAATCTCGTACATTCCATTTCTTAATATATGACGTCATTTGTTTACATTTGATACGCCAGAGCAGTTATGAATGTACGAATTATACAGCTGCAAGTATGTGTTGGGAATAGTTTGTACAGTTTTAAAAAGAGATTTTGGGCTCAAAGACATTTTGGAACATTATTTACACTCAGACTTCTATCCTCATCTTTGTTATTATTATTACAACGTTTGTGCTAGTCGGTCTTCATCATCTGTTGTTGATCAGGGTAACCTTCAGTGAATTTCAAACTGAACCCTTTATTTAATCTACAGAGATCAAGTTGTTCTCGTCCCGCTGTGCATGTCTCGTGTTGTACTTAGCTTGTACTGATCAGTTATTACACGCCGTGTTTCCACTGTGCCTAAGTCTGCATAACCCAGCCCAGGAATTGAACTTCCAATGACTCCTTTAGTACTGATCAGTTATTGCTCGCCCTGTTTCCACTGTGTCTAAGACTGCATTTTCTGATACGTCCTATTTAACTCAAAGCTAGGCGAGAAGATGTTGATTCATACATTTTCTAAGGTTATTTGCACGTAAGCGAATATAATGAACCCGACTGGAATTCGGACTCATCACCTCATTTAGATCAGTAAGTTATGTGCCATAAGTGATAAACGCTTTCGATACATGACTGACGAGGCATATTTTTCCAGCAGTAGGTTGCCATTTCTTTCTGCGGTAGACCAGTTGCCATCCAAGAACTCTGATAAGGTGGAGAGAAGAAAAGGATTCATACCTTTCTCAAGAGTATTAGCATGTAAGTGAATGTAGTGGATTCGACTGGAATTCGAACTCGGCTCTCCGATACCTCAGTACGAGCCACTATTCATTACCCCATAAGCACATCTAAACTTACAGCACAAAGGAAATTATTAAACATATTAAAAACTTTTATTTCATCTTAATATGTTAAAATACAAAAAATTGAAAGGTGGCGGATGGTCGTAGAAAGTAAGGGAAAGTATTTTGATGACTCAATAATGATGATATGAAATTGTATGTAAAACAATATTTTGTAAGAAGGTGAGAAACGTTTGCAACCATTTATGTCTCTGCGTATATTCATATGTGCGGATGGAAAACAGGATGAATCCGTATCATCATTTGCGATGAAACAATATGTATTCTCTTGTTTCAAGTGAATTTAAATAAATGCCATAAAAGCAAGCAGCAGTGTAAGTATTGTGAACACTTATAGTCCTCGACTTGTTTTCACACACACACATAAACACATAATGTGTGTCAAGATTTTTAGCGTTTATTATTTATTATTATTTTATGTTTTAAATACATCCTGTAATTTTGAAAAGGAAAGAATTTAGAAATTTTAGATATCTTATATATATATATATATATATATATATATATATATATATATATATATATATAAATTTTTTCTTATTACGTTAATAAAACATCGAAAATCGAAAAGAATAAATCATACACAATGAAAATGAAAAACAAATAAATTAACCCAAACATATAAATAAATAAATAAATAAACAAGCCACTTCCGCAAAAATAACCGCCAGAATAGATTACCCACAATGCACCACTAACCGATATATATAAATAGTCGAGGAAAAATCTAATATTCGCGGCCCGACGATTGTGCTTAGCATGAAACAGCCTGTCGCCTCTGAGTGTTGACTTCAATGTCCACTTTTAGATTTATATTTACATACGCTCTATATTGAGCACTTTATCCCATAAATATAGCCCACCATAAGTGTATATTTCTACTATGATTATACTTCTCCAGGCCTTGGTAAGTAATTGGTGATTAAATGATTTTTAAGCAAATTTTAAAACTATTTGTTACCTCTTTACCGAAAGTTAAAGTAAGGGGAACAGAAGGTCAGAATTAAAATTAAACTTGTGGGTGTGTCTTGATTAACCAATTAAATGTCAGATCTACGCTAAATAGAAAAGTAAAGTCAGAGAGTGGAGGTGGGTGAGTTATTTTTTTCATGTCACATTAAACTAGGATATACACAGGTAAGCGAATAAATATTTACTCAATTTAATATAAGATGTAAACAAAACAGTGCTCAATTGATTAGACAGAGCAAAGAAGTATATATTAATAAATATACATACACCTACGTTTGAAGTGCAACTTGAAGTTTCGTTGTCCTATCAACTCATCAGGCACGAGTTATTATTTTGTATTCTTTTAAATCAAAAGTAATAATAGTGCCTGATGAGCTGGTAGAACAACGAAACTTTAAGTTACACTTCAAACTTAATAGGTATATATATATATATATATATATATATATATATATATATATATATATATTACTTTACTTCTGTTCCAAAAACAGTGGAAGGAGTGTGAACCGGGCCTTATGCGAAATCATCTACTCATATTGGAAGAACATACATATATGAAAGAGATTTTTATAAGCGTCGCTTAGATGATGTACAGGGCCGCAGTGAGGATCGAAGTCACTACTCATTCGTAACCATTGCACCACCTCAAGTGCTCAAATATACATACATACATACATACATATATATATATATATATATATATATATATATATATATATATATATATATATATATATATATTATAAATTAATTGATTTAAAATATAGTTTTTTTTTTCCGCTACACAGTTCTAACCATGTTTCAAAAAATAGAAGCCCCGAATTTAATTTTGCAATTAAATTAAAAAAGCATTAGTTCCATTTCATCTTCAAGCGAATTTTGGAGTAACTTTTAAAAATTACTGGGTTTTTAAAGACACAGCTAAAATCACGTTTCCATGGTTACAGAATATTCTACTTCTTCAATTGGACAAGGATGTCTAGGTATTCCTTATGTCAGTATCATTGTATCAGTTATTAGCTACATTTTGGTAAGGGGTAGGGATGTATTTTTCAATGAAAACTGACATCCATTGAATGCATGTCGTCTGGATTTTTTTTTTAATTATTGTTAACGGTAAAAAAAAATACTCTGTAAATTTACATTGAGCACTATTTTGCAAAAATAAAAATATCTATAAGAACACCGGATTATATATCTTACTGTTCTTTCTTTTTATTTATATACACATATATATATATGTGTGTGTGTTTGTGTGTGTGTGTGTATAATATATATATATATATATATATATATATATATATATATATATATATATATATATATATATATATAAAAGTGAACATAGAAGTCAACACTTAGAGGCGACAGTCTGTTTCATGCTAGATGCAATCGTGGCCTGACGATTGCATATAGCATGAAACAGACTATATATATATATATATATATATATATATATATATATATATATATATTATTATTATTTAACATATTTAAAAAATATTTTATCATCGCGACACGGAAATTAGCCTGTTTCGGAACCTTTTTATTCCCTTTTATTTTAGTTTAAAATATTCTAAATAATAATAATAATATTAAACTCTAATTTTTATCGAGAAATTTTGGATTTCTAATCTGACAGTTCTTTCACTTTATTTGTATATATATATATATATATATATATATATATATGTGTGTGTGTGTGTGTGTGTGTGTGTGTGTGTGTGTGTGTGTAACAAAGAAGTAAACACTGTATGGTGACAGTCTGTTTCACGCTTCTATGCGATCATCAGAGTAATGATCTCATAGAAGTAATAAAAAAAAAAACAAATAAAGCAAGAAAGAAAAAAGAAGGGAAGAAAGAAAAGCAATGATAATTTTTGGGTTGTCGACGGAAGGATTTAAAAGGAAAAAGAATTTTTTTTTTTTGTGTGCGATGAAATCATCAATGTAAAATGATTTGCATTTCCACTGCTGTCTCGTACGGTTTGAAAACTACCATTCACCATGCAGTATTCATTTTTATGTCTACAATGCTTATATCTTTAAATGCTGTATCTGCGATATTCAGTACTGACCTTCTACTAAATTTAAACTATATATATATATATATATATATATATATATATATATATATATAGAAACAGAAAGCATAGAGAGAGAGAGAGAGAGAGAGAGAGAGAGAGAAATGTTTACTTCCTCGAAACCCAGTTGTTTAAAACGTAAATCTCCATATTGACAGTGAGTTTAATTTTTTGATCTTTTGTATCGTTTACTTTGTCTTTTATTTAATTTCTTTCTTTACTTCTTTTATTTTTCTTCTTTTTTCTTCTTATTTATTCATTTGTTTTCACTTTTCTTTTTCTTTCCTTGGTTTTCCTTTTTGACAGATCTTTTCTTTCCTTTTTTCTTTCTTTTCTATAATGTTTTCTTTCTTTCTCGTTTAATTTTATTCATGTACTTATTTCTTTCGGTTTCCTTTTTTCTTTCTTTCTTTTATCTTTACTTTCTTTTTCCTTCCTTTTTTGGTTTTTTTCTCGCATTTTTTCTTTCTTTTTTCTTTCTGTCTATCTTTCTTTCTTTCTTTTTTCTCGCGTTTTGCATTCATTTATTTTTCTTTTCCTTATTTGCTTCTTTCTTTCTTTCTTTCTTTCTTTCTTTCTTTCTTTCTTTCTTTCTTTCACTCCTTTCATTTTTCTTTCTTTCTTTCACTCCTTTCATTTTTCTTTCTTTCTTTCTTTCTTTCTTTCTTTCTTTCTTTCTTCTTGGATTTGCTTTTCTACTCCAGTTTTTTTTTTATTTCTGTTCTTTTCTTTTACGTCTTTTTTTTTCTTTTACGTTTCTCTGGATATTACTTTTCTTCTTTCATTCTAACGCTTTTTTTTTCTTCCTATTTGTCTTTCTTACATTCATTTTCGCGCGTTTCTTTTACTTTTTCTGTTTCTTCGTTTAATTCTTTATTTTCGGTTTTCCTTCTGTCTTTCTTTCTTTTTTTCAATGTTTTTTTATTTATTTTTTTTTTCTTCTTATTTGCTTCCTTTCTTATCCTGACTTTCTTTTCCTTGTTTTTCTTTCCTTTCATTCAGTTCTAATTTTTTTTTCTTTATCTTTTGCCATCTCATTCATCCAGTCTTCTCTTTATCTTTCTCAGTATCTCTCTGTCTTTCTCTCTCTCTATTCTCGACCCCCATTTTCCCTTCTCTCTCTCTATCCCCATTTCTCTTTTATTCTGTTGATAATCCTCCAACCCCTTCACCATAAACCTTCAATTTTCTTTACTTCCTTCTTCCGACTCCGCCCAATTTCCGGCTTTATTCTCCCTTTGTCTTTTGTCACTAACTCTAGCATCTCTTCAAGTAGTTGCACAAGGTCACCAGAAAATGCCCGGTTTTAATTTTCAGATAACACTGTTAAAGTTGTATGAAAGAAGTGCCTGTTCTTTGAAAATGGATTTGAATGAAAATATTTGTAGTTGAAAAAAGTGTTCCTATAATATCTGTGGCTCAGAGGAATAAGGTATTAGAATTGCAACATCTGCTTGAACTTTATTCATTGGGGGGGGGCGTTGCACAAAGACCACCCCCACTCTCTTGAAAAGTTGTTGTTTTTTTTCCACCAGAGCAAACATAAGGTGTCATCAAAGATGTATTGTTTGACTGTAGAAATTGCCCAAAAAACGAGGCATAGTTTATTTTAAATCATTTCATCCTAAACAAGGCATTAAAGTCACTAAGACAGGGAGCTACTGAGTGTAACAGAATAAGAAAAAGACAATCATTATTAAAGAGCCAGGACAATAAAAGGCGAGGAATAAAGAAAACAGAAGATAATAATTGACATTGCATTTACATTTTTTAAAAATAAACGTTGGCTATGAAGCAAGAAGACTCTAGAAACGAGACTTGCGATAGAAGAAACTGTTAGCATAGAACTTACGGTATCCGTCTAGTCATTTCAGCCGTTAATTGCTGAAACATTACCGCCAATCTAGTACTGCGCTTAAATTCATAAAGTCTAGGTACCAAAGGGGAAAGGTCACCAGAACAATTACCATGAAAGTATTTATAGAAAAAGCACAGAGAAACTGTGTTATGTTGGTGGGAAAGTGACTAAAGCCGAGATGCCAAGTCAGGATCAATAACATTGCCGATTCTTGGATTTTATTAAAAATCTCTATATAGCAAGAATACCAGACGAGATGTAGCAGTAATTATCAAAGTGTGGACGAATGGTAGACTTATAAATATGGAAGATAGATTCTAGTGAGAAAGTTATCCATTACTCTTACTCCGTTCTTTTTCTTCTTTTTACTGTTTCTTTTTATTATTAAATAATAAATCCTAGGCCCAAGAGCCACTCAATATAGAAGGTTACTGAATGAGATTGATTTATGAACGCAAGAATTGTAGAATATGGGGATATGTACGATATATAACAGTTGATCCATGCCTTGAAGCGGTTCAGATTATAGCGGTCGGGAAAGTATCCTCTTGGGAGTCTGTCTCACAAAGCAGCGATCCTTAGGAAGAAGCTGTCGGAATATAAAGACTATGAGGATAATTCGCCCATGTTATGTTGAATGGAGGGTCGTAGCTGTTACAATTAGATTCATCTTCTTCCTCGACTGATTGCCAACAAAAATTAGAAAGGCCTGTCTGCCCTACTATTTAACCTGTAGCTGGAGGGTAGAATTGGATTTATGACTTGAAGTATTAAATTAATTATTTAAAACGGGTTGTAAATGATAGAAAAGTGTCTTATTTAAGCTGTGTTTTTTTTAACTGCATCTTGCCACGTCTAAAGTATCATTTTTGTTCTGTTAATTTGTTTCGATACCAGTGAGTGTTAAAGGCATTATTAAAAGGCGTAAAAAAACAGTGCGATTCAGGCGTTGAGGAGAACAACTTCTAAAAAGGTTTAAGGGTGTACTTTGTTAAGTGTCAAGCGAATATGGCGAAGGGTTCAATTAAATCAAATATTCTCTTTTTTTTCGCTTTGTTATTTTGCATTTTTTCAATCAGTATATTTCGGCATAAAAATAATTCTATTTCACATTATTCATATCTATTTATCTATGTATGCAGGTGTGTATGTATGTATGTATGTATGTATCTATCTGCCTATTTATCTACCTATCTCAGTGCATTCATTCATATCTATCTATCTATCTATCTATCTATCTATCTATCTATCTATCGATTTCAATATATTCTTGTGTATCTATCTATTGAGCATATCATTATCTACCTAAGTAGTTAGGTATCTATGTAGGGGAATATCATTATCTATCTATCTATTATTGTCTGGGTATATTATCTATCTATCTATCTATTATTTTGGGGGGTATATTATCTATCTATCTATCTATCTATCTATCTATCTATCTATCTATCTATCTATCACCGTCTAGGCATATTATCTATCTATCTATCTATCTATCTATCTATCTATCTATTATTGTATGGGCATATTATCTATCTATCTATCTATCTATCTATCTATCTATCTATCTATCTATCTATCTATTATTGTCTGGGTATATTATCTTCCCATCTATCTATCTATCTATTATTTTCTGGGTATATTATATATCTATCTATCTATTTATCTATCACAGTCTAGGCATATTATCTATCTATCTATCTATCTATCTATCTATCTATCTATCTATCTATCTATCTATCTATCACTGTCTAGGCATATTATCTATCTATCTATCTATCTATCTATCTATCACTGTCTAGGCATATTATCTATCTATCTATCTATCTATCTATCTATCTATCTATCTATTAAATACAGTCTTTAATTTGCTTATCCATGCCTTTATTGCTGAGGCATAACCCTAGACACAGGCTTTTAAATCTTATTTGATGTCTACCAAATCTGTTTTTTACTGAAACTTGACACAAATAAAAAAAAATACATTCTCAATTTTTGGTCTTTTTTCCGTTACTTTTTTGTCTATTTTATTGTGTTTGTTTTTTTTTTTTCGTTTCCTTTTTCTTTTTCTTTTACCTGTCCGTTCCTCATGATCCTCTTGTTTATGTTTTTCTTACCCACCCCCAGCCAACGCCAGTGTCAGATATTTTAACCCCCACCCCACAAGTCTAGGGACGAAGATTCAACCTTAACACCGTTTAGATTAAGTTAGATTATCCTGTCAAGACCAACAGTAAAATGCGACGCCATTTGGTCTTCCGGTTTATAAATGAGACCCTTCCACACCTTTTTTTTTCTTTCCTCCCTGAAGACCCCACCTAAAGCCATTCCTTTAAAAGATAACTGGAATGTCCCTAAATTATTTGACCGCGACCCTTTTTACTAATCAAATTTACATTAGTGTCAAATTAACCTCTTTTAAAATACATATCAAAGAAAAGAGAGACAAATGCTTTAATCAGTTTATGATATTTTATTGAACGAAACGAACTCAGATATGAACAGTCACACACACACACACACACACACACACATATATATATATATATATATATATATATATATATATATATATATATATATATATCGTCGTCGTCATCCGCCCGTCTCGTGAGAAGATGGAGTAGCGCGGTGCGCTACAAGCCTGGGCGGGATATATGGAGAACTAGGGCTGCCCAGACGTCTAGTTCCCCGTCTCGGCCTTGCTAGCAAAGTCAAAGGAGAGGATAAACCAATATAGTTTGGTACCAGCGCGGCTGCAGGATATATATATATATATATATATATATATATATATATATATATATATATATATATATATATATATATATATATATATAATATAACAGACAATGAATATAACTACAATGTGTCTGATCGTCGTGAGCCGTTCTAAACTTTATATGGTTGCTTTAATTTCGGGTGAAAATAAGGACAAAAAATTGTCCAAAATTTGGATATTTTTTTTAAGCTGTGCCTTGATCTAAGCTTTCGGCTCACATGAGCCATTTTCGAAGCCGTTATGCGGATATCTACACAAAGATCTTCACCATCAAAGATGATATTCTGTTACGCTGGCATAGAAGTTTGCTATGCAACGATAACGATCGCGGAATACATATATATATATATATATATATATATATATATATATATATATATATATATATATATATATTGTTTTTAAACTCAACTCTCATGTAATATGGAATCATATTTTAAATAAATAATTATATCTAGGCTCTACTTTTGTATCGACCACTATGTTTTAAAAATAATAACAAAAATACTAAAGAACTTTGGATTATTTACCTAACGAGTTCTTTCTTATTTTCTATATATTTTCACACACACACACACACACACACACGCACACACATATATATATATATATATATATATATATATATATTGGTTATAATTTGTTGCATTTATAAATAAGAATATTGTATAAAAACAAAGGAATCATTTATTAAAACTTTGAATATACGTTCTTTAGCGCTAGATGGCGTCGTCAGTGATGTTCTGAATTGGGTCATTGGGCAGTTTCGGGTCTTTCAAACATCATACTCCCCTCACCAATCAGAGCTGATCAGTCGCTGACCCCCCCCCCCACCTATCTAAATTAACAACGTGAAAACAATATGAACACTGCCATGAAGTAGAAATAGGAAGATTTCGTTAGAACAGAGAAAAGGATGCTGAGACATGCAATATCAATCTGAAGAGAAAACTTGAACCAGCAAATATGTCTTGACAAAAGACTGTTGAGAAAATCATAGACAGAACATGTAAGCAATGAGGAAGACTAAAGGAAAATAGAAGTAATAGGAACATTTACACTTCAAATAAGGCAGCGAATAATATATCTAACAAGCTTATGTGTATGAGTGGCAGGACAAATGTTGCAAAGAGCTATAAAAGACAGGATGTTGTGAGGAAACATGATCACCCACGTCTTGAAAGAATACAGTAAATAAAAGTGGAAAAAGATTCTCACTGCATTAGTCGTGTATCGTAGTAAGTTTGACCGCCATTTTGACTTAAAAAATGCAGGTTTAATTTATAAACAAATGTAGATTTACAAATACTTAAATGTATTAAAAGTTCACTAATTTCGGAATCTCCCGCTGATGTTTTTATCCAGGGTCATAGAGAATACCGTTTATTTCCTTATTTATTTCCTTATGGATGTAATGATGTCTTCAACATCAGTTTTGTTGGCGTGGTCTAGTCACTCCTTATGGCAGATATTGAAGTCACCGCAGATATGTAAGCTGGCCTAGGGGAATTGACTATGGATATTGTCAATCTTCTCATATATTCAATCGAAGACTACCGTCCTCTCGTTCTGAAGAGTAAAGACAAATATGGTACTATGGATAAGTGTCACGCGGAAGCACATATACGGGAGGTCATGTTCCTCGTTTCTTGTGTCCCTGCCGCAGAGAACCTTGTCCTTGATGTAGGCTCCTAATCCGTGGCCCTGACGATTTAGGTGGTCATGTTTGGCTATGAGAGCTGAGTAGACCTGGACGGATAACTTCCCTAGTGCGCCTGAGGCGTTGATACCGGTTTAATAAAATAGAAGGAGGTCTAGTTTAGATTGGAGAAGAAAGTTGAAACGTAGACCCCTCACGTTGGTGTAGGGGATGGTATACGTGGGGTATACTTTGTTTTTTTTTCTTTTTAAGGGTTGGGTTTGACAGTTTTTTTCATTTGTATTTTGACTGGTTTCATGTGTGCATTGATTGGTGGAAGACTGGTAGGCAGTGAGACAAGCACCCCCGCAGGAGTTGCATGTATAGATAACCCTGAGAGATTCGTCATGTGATTCAGACGTAGCAGTACCCTTCACCATGACATCGAAAGGAACCACCGGAAACTACTACACGATACAGAAACCATTCACAAAATGGTAGTACAATAATCCCCGACATTATACACCTGCTGACAGGATAACATCCGTCGGAGTTACTCGAAGGTTCGGATGGCTGACTATCAAGTGGATGGCACCCAAGTCCAGAAAACATCTACTGTCAGCACCCTTAATTGAAGGACAATCAAACCAGGAAAGAAAATAGATGCGTGATGCTCCGAGTGCACATGTCGCGTCAGTATGTGGGCAGACATAGAGAACATTCGGACAATTTCTACAGACTTTATGTTACATACTTTATATTATAATATATAAATATTTTTCACATACTCCATATTTTTTGCATTGCAATTATGGGTCGAAAATGAATGCAAGTTTTACTGACAAAATTAGACTATTATATGTATAGTAAGTTTTACTGTAGGAATAACTGAAAACTAAAAACGAAGGTATTGTCAATGATCAGAAAGTAAGGCAAGAAATACTGATAGAATGTACAAAGTAAATGCATTTCTAATGACTTTATTATAGAAATATATTTTTTATTTTATTTCATAAGTTCCAAGAGCCACTCAAGGTTGAGGGCTACAGAGTGAGATTGTTATAAGTGCGTAATGAAGGGGTGCATACTATGAGGATATGTGAGCTAGCTATCGGATGACTTGAAAACATTAAGATTGTAGTGGTCGAGGAATCATCTTTTTGGGAGTATGTTCCACCTAGTAATAATTCTAGGGAAGAAACTTACAGCTTACCAAATGAATACGAAGGGAATGAGGAAGATTTGCCACCTTGAATAATAGCATGGCGGGTTCTAGCTGTGAAGGTCTGAACTGGTGGAACTATGAAATGTAGCTCATCTGAATATTTGCCATGGAAATAGCAATAGAGTAGCGAGAGTTTTAGATGTAAAGGTCTGAACTGGTGGAACTAAGGAATGTAGTGCATCTGAACATTTGACTCATTGAACGAGCATATGAAGAGAGCTACGCACCACGGACATGCTATAGAAGGCGTCACTCGATATTATAACCGAGTCCGTCCGTTACAGTTTTCATAACTGGATCATGCATGTCTCATGACCTAGAGGAAGGTCATGAAACCATGTGTGTCCAGCTTAAACAAATTCACGCCATCAGCAGTTTCTTCTATTATGATTTTCTTGCATCATGATAAAGCAGTGATCAGCAGAGAAGAAATTATAGTCTTGAATACGAGATAAAGCCGACGACGGCATTGAAAATCAGGAAGAAAGGCATTGTCATTGCTGACAAAAAATGGTTTTACATTTGTAGAATGTAAATGCATTGCTATGGACCGAACATATCAGAAACGACGAAGAAATATAGAAAGAAAAAGGAAAATTGCACTTAACATCTGGAAGAGAGCTTTCTATGGCGCATAATGAGGAAGGAAGGCTTGGAAAATCTGATACTCAAAGTACAAATTGAGAAGAAGGAGGACAGAGGAAAGCAGCGCGTAATATACTTAACATCAGGAAGAGGCAGTTAAAATTTCTGGGGCACGTAATGAGGAAAGAACGCTTGGAAAATCTGATACTCACAGAACACATTGAGAGAAAGAGGGACAGAGGAAAGCAGCGCGTAACAGCAGGAAGAGACAGTTAAAATTTCTGTGGCACGTAATAAGGAAGGAGTGCTTGGAAAATCTGATACTCACAGGACAGATTAATGGGAAAGTGGGGCAGAGAAAAGCAACGCGTAACATACTTAACATCAGGAAGAGGCAGTTAAAATTTCTGGAACACGTAATGAGGAAAGAGGGCTTGGAAAATCTGATACTCACAAGACAGATTGAAGGCTAGAATTACAGATGAAAATGACGTAACTTAGTGAGCTTAGGTGAATGTATGGCGAAACAGGGTTTGGGATAAATAACAGAAAGTAAAAATTTACAAAGAGCTACAAGTGAAAGGAAGTTGTGGAGAGCCATGATCGACAACATCCTGAGAGAATATTTCACATATA